CCCTCATTAACTTCACGTCACTTCAGAGCCTTGTAAAAATTATCCTTTATCAAGTTTGTATCTAAACATATAGACTTCGTTTCTCGGGGTCTATATTATTGATTGTCTCGCGGAACATTCTTTTATTTCCAACACTTTTTTTAACCACACGCAACTTTGTTGCTTTCCTTGATCACTGATTTTATTACAAACACGCGCATTACCAGAACCTAGTGTTAAGCATTGAAAGCATATTGCCGTGGGAATAACTCCTTTGGCATTTTTATCGAGCTTGTGTTTGTCACATAACTCCATTCAGAATCTCTGCTCAGTTTTCCATAATGTCACAGCATGCTTCACCTATATCAGCTTTCACCGAACTCGGTGCTACTTTTCAAGAAACTATTACAAATGAAAAATTATCTATGGTTGTTGGTCAGCGACATAAACCTGCCATGACGAAGAAGAGGACTGCAAAACAAGAAGACTCCGACGAAGACGACGGATACTTGAATGAACCGGTGGCTTATCGCCCTTATCCGGTTACCAATACGAAAATCAAAAAGACCAAGTATTCCACTTCTCTAGATCCCAGAGGTTATATCCCCGGTAAGTTACTGCGTATGATATGATCCTTTTCATTTATTACATGCGATTAGTTACTCTTGTCAAAATATGCATCAAATGTATTAACTACTATTTTACAACTTAAAAATCAGTATATGAATTCACTATAAACAACCAACCTATTATGTGGGATCGAGAGAATGGATATGTTCACTTCACGGGCATTTGGAAAGCCCTTGGGAACAATAAAGCCGATATTGCTAGGTTAGTGGACACTCACCCTGACTTGGCTTCAACAATCAAGAAGGTTAGAGGTGGATTTCTTAAAATCCAAGGAACCTGGTAATTAATATTGGCATAATACATACTTTTGATTATTATTATTATTTTTTTTGTTTATATATACGATTAATATATACGATTAATATAATTAATATATCTTTAAATGAATTTATCTATATATAAATGTATACATCTATGTATATTTCTATACACGTATATAGGATGCCAC